GGGGGGGGGGGGGACCCTCTGAATGTGTTTGTGGGGTTTCCCGGGTATGCCTTAGGCAAGTAGCTTCTGCAGTCTTTATACAACTCGTTACCCGCACCCCCGCCCTAGGGGCGCCCTTGCCCTCCCAAGCACCAGGCTCCAGCTCTCAGTACCACCATGCGCGGTCCCATGAAGCTTTCTTCAAAACAGTGCCCCACCGAGCCCACCACCTGCAGAGAGGAGTGAGCAGGATGGATGGTGGTCTGGTCTTTCTCCTCCTCACCGCCCCCCCATCCCCCATCCTCGGCTCAGCCCACACCTTCAGCACAATGGAGGTTCTCTTGAGACTATGCCCGCTGATGGCCTGTTCAAAACACGCGCTCTTGTCTTTGATGATAACCTGAAGGCAAGAGCATGGGGAGCAGGCAGGTTCACAAGACTCACGGGGGTGGGTGGAGTGGGGGGCCGGAGAGGAGCGGCCGCTGGGGTGTGGGTGGCAGGCCCGGCCCACCAGACCTCACCTGGTACAAGGATTTGCGGTTCACGCGCATCGTCTCCGTTACTATGACCTCGATGCATTCCGGGTTGGCCAGCAGCACACCCAGGCTTAAAGAGGCCTTCTGGTAGAAGGAGGTGCCTGCTCCGAGCAGAGAGCACGGTTCAGGGCGTTGGGGACCACCACTTCTAGGCCCTCCCTCGTTTCCGACCCCGTCCCTCCAGTCCCCTACCGCCGAGCTCAGTCCCGTGGGAGAAGGAGTGTCCCTTGATGATGATGAAGACGGAGAAGCTGTAGGCGTTGCCCTTGTCCAGGTAGATGCGCTCGGGCAGTAATTCAACCGGGAGGTTGTAGATCTTTCCATAGTTGGCCATGTCGATGTACACATTCTCCGAGCTCTGCCGGTTGCTCGCCAGGTAGAAGTAGTAACTCTTGGTGGGGACAGGGGACCCGATGGGCAGGGCCAGTCAGCGCCTGGACGCCAGGAGCTCCCCGCCCCGTCCCCCAGCCCGCCTCAGGGTCCCCTCAGTCTCTGGGCTCCTAACCCTACCCTCTCCACGCACCTGGTCTTGTTTCTTGTCCTTCCACCAGCGCCAGGTAGGGTCGTGCACCGGGTCCGCGTAGGGCTGCAGGGACCGCCGGGGCGCTGTGAAGTGTGCGCCTGCGCCCCCAGGCCCCTGCCTCGCCTCATGTCTAGCTCCTCACCCCAAATCCGGCTCCAGACACCCAGCCCACCCCCCAGGGCCTGCAGACAGCCCCGCCGCAGCCTGCAGCACTCTCTCGGTGGTCCCCCAACCCAATGCCACCGAGTCGATCCCAACTCTATGGGCCTGAGGAGCGCCGTCTCGGAGGGTTTCCAGGGACTGACCAGATTGCTTCCGCAGAACGACTGGTGGGCTCCAAGCGCCGGCCTCTTGGTGGACAGCCCAGCACTTACCAATGCACGATAAGGACTCCGCGGCCCAAGCCAAGCCCCGCCTCCATCCTCTCATCTCCTACCCACCTTTATCCTAGGGGTCTGTGGGCGGGGCCTAAGGGGCTGACTAGGGGCGGGGCTCCGAGGGCCGGAGGCTGGCGAGGGGCTAGGGCTGAGGCTGGGGCATCCCACCCCCTTCCTGCACCATCGACCCCCACCCGCTCCGCGTCCTCCCCACCTCACCCCCACCCTAGTGGCTAAGCACCGATGAGCCCTTTGGCCAGGAAGGGCTGGGGCAGACCCGTCCCCGCCCGCGCCAGCCCCCCACCCAATCCCCCAGCGCCTTCGGGCCGGCCTCTGGCCGCCTGGGGCCCGCCCACCTTGTCATACTTGGAGTGCAGCCAGAGAAGATAGTAGACGAGGCCCTGGTAAATGGCCAGCGACTCCTCCGTGTGGAAGCCCAAGGGCCCCACGACCACCGGCGGCAGCGCCAGGTAGCGCTCCTGGCGCGTGTACCTCTGCGACCTTGGCAGGTCTTGCAGGCGTATCGCCGAGAAGGTGCATAAATTGGTGAAGGCGGCTATAGTGTCTTTCCTGGTTAATGGGGCATGGGGGGGCAAGATGGCTTCTGATTCCCAGGCCCCTGCTGCTGACTCCCCCAAAGCTGATTCCAATCCCCATTTTCTTCTTGCGGTGCACCTCATCCCCCCACCCCCCACCCGGGCCTTCCCTCAGTCCCAAGGCCAGAGCCCTTCGAAGATCCCCTTTCTGGCTGCCCATCAGTCCCCACTGGCCTCCACAGTGACTCCTAAGGCCCTGTGACACCTGTCCCCTCAGGTGACCCAGAGGATCATTCCCTCACACAAAGGTCAGGTTGGGACCTCCCTTTAGCCCCACCCATGGCTCCCGGGACCCTCCCTATAAGCACCCACAGTCCCCGCCGGATTCTATCTGCAGTGTACTTCCAGTGAGTGAGCACCCACACACCTTCCTCAAGGACTTTGCATTGTGGCTGCTCACTACAAGGCTGGGGGTTCAAACTCACCCAGCGGCTCTGAGAGAGGAAGACCAGGCTGCCTGTAGGAGTCCCTCTGAGTGGCCGTGGGTTTGGGGTTGTGGTTCTGTGTTTGAGGTGCCTCTGATTTGGACCGCCCACCCCCACCCACCATCCAGGGCTCCTCTTGCCACACCCTCCATGGGACCAGGCCATGCTTCCCCTAGGGAACCCTGGTAGCACAGTGCAGGGCACATTGGACTTCTCACGAGCCTATCCTGGGGAGAAAAATGAGGCTTTCTACTTCGGAAGAGTTACAGTCTTGGAAAGCCGCAGGAGTTCTACCCAGCCCTATAGGCTCTGATGCCTCTGAGCCGAGCCGGCATCCACTGGGCAGCAGTGAGTCCAGCCTGTCTTCCTCCCCGGGGCAGGTGGCTGGGGCGCTCCCTGGGGGCTAGTGCTGGCCTCTGACTAGCGTGCTGGCCCTTGGTCTTCTCACCCTTGCTGCACCAAGATGTAGTTGTTGCTGAACTGCTGGTAGATCAGGAGCTGGTCCACAGGCACCAGCCTCTTGACCAGCTGGCTCTTCGAGTCTTGCTGAAGGTACACGAGCTGTACGGCCAGGTGAAGCAAGGCCAGGTGAGCAGGGGGCCAACCTGGCATGCCTGGGGCACTCCCTCCCATCCCCATCCCTCCAGTGGGCACCTGGAACAGCTGCCTGCCCTCGTAGAAGAGGGTGACCATGGTCTCCTTGGTCGTGTACATGGATGACTGCTGCAGTAGCTGCAGGTTGAAGTGCATCTGCCAGCTGTCCGATGGGAACAGCTTGAATATATTGTAGCTGCCTTCTATGAGGTACCAGATCTGGGCATGAGACAGCAAGGGTGGTGTGTGTGTGTGTCCATGGACCCCAGCCAGGGCCATGTGAGCCCACCTGCTTCTTCCCTACCTCCACCCCATCCCCACCCCACTCCCCACTGGCTACCTGCATTTCTAACACACACACACACACACACACACACACACCCTAAAAGGCTTTTCCCTTTTGGAAGGCTTTGTGTCAGCCACAGGAGGAGTTCTGGTGGTGCGGTGGCTACATGGTGGGCTGCTAACCACAAGGTGAGCAGTTCGAAACCACCAGCTGCTCCAAGGGAGAAAGATAGGGCTTTCTACTCCCATAAAAAATTACCGTCTTGGAAACTCACAGGGGCGGTCCTACCCTGTCCTATAGGGTGGCTAGGGGCCAGCATCGACTCGATGGCCCTGAGTTTGGAGTTTGGGGTGCCCTTCAGGATCACACCATCTCTTTCTTTGGGCTCAGTTTCCCATCTGCGCATGCTGATGCCCATACCCTCCCCCACAGCTGACTGGAGGTTTCACCTGCCTCTTAAGCCTCTGCCAGGGGGGTTCCCTCCTGCAGCAAAGTGACCTCCTCCACCCAGCCCTCCCAGGTTCAGCCCCCCCCTCTCTCAGATATCCTATAGGGAAGGGTAAAACTGCCCCTGTGGGTTTCTGAGATGGAGAAAAACAGTTTTGTGGTTCAAACGGATGACCATGTGGTCAACAGTCTAACTTATAACCCACTCTGCCCCAGGGCTCTGCAGCAAAGGCTCCAACACTCGAAACCAAACTCCCTATCGATTCTAACTCAGTGACACTACAGGACAGCGTAGAACGGCCCTGTGGGTTTCCGAGACTATTCATCCTTGGCGGGAGTAGAAAGTCTCCTCTTTCCCCCAGTGACGGCTCTGTGCATGTCCCTGAACAGACTACAAGACAGAATGACGAGTCTGCACACAGGTCTTTCTGTACGCTGCGTGACTTTGGTAAAGACACAGAGACTCTCTCGCTCTCCCCCAGACTATTTCCTCCCTGCGCCCCTTCACCTTGACAATGAGAAGAGGTGCCTGGGGCTCAGGTGTGGGCAGAGAGAGGGCAAGGAGGGGGTAGGGCAGCCCACCTCCTCATTCTCTGTGACAATAGCCATGTCTCCAAGGAAGGAGTTGACCATGTACTTGATGGTTGATTCCCTGGGAAATTCCGCCAGGTAGATGTAGTTTTCCAGGTCATAGCTGCAGGAGCAGTGATGGAGAGCAAAGGGCCCCCAGATGAGGCCCCTACGGGACGCCTGTCCAGCCCCCAACCCCAGCCTGACAGGATCTAGGGGCTATTTCCTCAGTTTCTCCCCCAGCCGAGTGAGAGCCAGGAGCCTGAACTCCTTCCTCGTTGCTTCCTCCCTCCCTAGTGACCTTTGCTCTCTTAGTCTCATCTCCCTGGGGGCGGGGGGCTGTCTGTGAAACAGGGGCAGTGGGCCAGCCTGTCAGTTTACCCACACCAGGGCAGCCACTGAACGGGTCTTGAGCTCCCCCCCAGAGACCACGTCCTTCTATTTGTGCCAGAGGCTGGGTCCTTAAGTTTGTGTGGGAGGGACCTCTCGGGGGTGGGGGTGGCTCTAGCCACTCCAGCCTGGTTTCCCCATCCTGATGGTGCTGGCAAGTGTGGGCTGGCGGGATGTCTGAGCGGGCACCGCCCCTTTCTACCCTTCCTTTACCACCCAGGGGGTTGGGGAAGCAGCAGCTGCCAGGCTTGACCAGAAGGGGTGGGGTGGGGCCACACCTCTCCATGATGAAGTTCCCCCAGATGTACATCAGCTGGCTAAAAGGGTTGTAGTGCAGGCCCTTGGGCACCGATGGCGTGTCTGTGTAAGACTCCACGCTGAGGATCATCAGGAACTGCCGTCCTTTGGCTGGTGGGGACAGAGGCAGCATGGGCCTCGTGATGAGGATGGGGCCACCTGGGCCGCACCTGGACCCTGCCCACCTCTGAGGACACAGTTCCCCCTCCTACCATCAGGGACAAACTCCGGGATCTTGTAGAGGATGGACAAGGATTCTGTGTCCCCTGTTGGGGAAAGGACAAGGAAGCTCTTGACAAAGGCCGCAAGACCCTGAGCGCCCCCAACGGGAGCAACAGCAACCCCACAGTGCCAGCCCCACCCTCAGAAGACCCTCCAGCTGGGGCTGACCTTCTGGGTAGGAATTAGTCTTCATAAAGACACGGTGAGTTCACACACACACACACACACACACACACACACACACACCACCCCAGCCTCTCTCTCCCTGTCCCACCCCTCCATCTCACACAGGCTGACTTCTGGTCCCCATGACCATCCCTGACTCGGTGGTACCATTCTCTGCTGGCCATGGAGATTACCCTCCCTCTTGTAGCGGACCACCAGGTAGCTCTTGTAGTTAAATTCTTCTCGGACCTCCACTAGCAGCAGCAGGCCTCGGATTGAATAGATAGCCCACAGGATGGAGCAGTTGCTCTCTGGGACAGGAAGGAGACAGTCCACAGTAGTCCCTGGACTCCAACACCCCACCCCACCCCCCGCCATCTCACTATCACCTGGAGGTTATGCCACCTTCCCCTCCCTGGACCCCCACTCCTCCCTGCTCACCGTCACCCTGCACCCCTCCACCCTCCAGTGCGGACCCATCTGGGAGATGAGCACCTTCGATCTCTTGGCACACAGAGAACCCTCTGGGCAGCATCTCAAAGGACACGAGGCCATCTGGGGAACAGGGTGGGGTCCATGCTCAGCCACTTATCCACTCCCAGCCCACCTGGCAACCTCCACTCCCACCCATTTCCTGATGCCCCCAACCCCTTGCTTCACTACCCACTAAGCCCCTGGGACTACAGGGGTCTCACCCCCTGGCCTCCAGGTCACCCACCCCCCGCTCATCAGAGGTGTGTCTATATCTGAGTAAAGTAATCGGCTCAAATCTGAGCACCGATGACCCAGAGCGAGACCATCCCCGTGCACTGCTGGACTTGGGCAAGACCTCGTCACAAGAGGCTGCTGGCCCGTTCTTGAGGTGACTCCGACTGTAAGGGTGCTGAGTTCCGGGCTCCTGTGGGCCATCGTTGCCATGGTGGTGGTTGGGTGCCATCTCCAGCCCACTCCCACCCCGTGATGGACAGCACTGCCCGGGCCCGAGGCAGCCTCACGTTGTTACGCTTGAGCCCGCTATTGCAGGCACGGTGTCAGTCCGTCTGGTAGAGGGCCTCCCTCTGTCTTGCTGCCCCTCCACTGCAGCAAGCATGAGGCCCATCTCCAGGGACTGGTTTCTCCTGACAACACGTGCAAAGCACGTGAGATGGAGTCTCGCATCTTTGCCTCTGTGGAGCACTCCGGCCGTCTTTCCTCTCAAACAGCTGTTTGTTCTTCTAGCATCCGTGGTACTTTCGGTATTCTTCTCCAGCACAATTCACATGAACCAGTCCTTCGGTGGTCTTTACTCAGACGGCCCACTTTCACACGAGGACCAGGCCACTGAAAATACCATGGCGTGGGGTCCAGCGCCTAGGGCCTCAAAGTAACCCGCCTGATGTTCAACACGAAGGAAGCCCTGTGCATTTCCCCAAGACAAATTGCTCTTTTGGCCTCTTGACTGCTGCTTCCATGATTATGGATCCAAGCAAGACAAAAGTCTTTGACAACTTCAACCTCTTCTCCCCTTATCGTGATGTTCCCCATGGGTCCAGTGGCGAGGATTTGGGGTCTTTACATCGAGTTGTGATCCAGGTCGCAGGCTGTAATCTTCGCTCTTCGTCAGCAAGTGCTTCAAGTCCTCCTCACGTTCAGCGAGCAACCCTCAGGTAAAGACGACGAGGCTCCAGCGTAGGGTGTGGGCCTCACAACAAGCCTGGATGGCACTTGTCCCCAGTATTGTGCCAGGTTTGAAGGTCTTGGTCTGGGGAGTCAGAAAGCCCGTGGAAAATTGCAATGGAGAGAGAACGGCGTCTCCCCACAAACTTGTCGAAAGCCTCCTGGCTCGGGTTGTCCCTGTCATGGCAAAGTTACACACGCGTGGGCTGCTTGCTTGTTTGGGTCTGTTAGTAGCCTGTGAGTTAAACTCAATTGCTCTGGCCCTCCAGCCGTAAGCCCTCGTGTGATATGAGTCGGGATTTCCTCCACCTGGGGTGGGGGGGTGGCCCACTGTGGAGGGCAGTCTGCTCACCAGCAGGCATGGGATGAGACGGAGTTCTGACCTTAGTCGAGGGTGACTCGGACCACGGGCTGTGTGTAACGGTTCTCCTAGTGACTATTGCTTACAATGAAGGTCAGAAATTATAGGCTAGAGCTGAGATGAGAAAGAAAACGGTTCCTGGAGTAGCCTGGGGAGAAGCCTGGCTGATGAAGAGGAGGAGGAGGAGGTCAATGCCCACTGCAAACACCTGGCCAGAGGCCCCAAGTCATAGACTCACAAATAACATACAGTCCAGGGGGTGGAGGTGGGGGCGGAAACTGATGATTTGGGTGAATTTGATTGCACCACGTAACTCCCACCAAACCACTTCTCCGAGCTGCATGGGTCTGGCAAGGAGATAGGGAAGATCGTAATGGGACTCACCCGGGAGGACGTGTGACCAGAATCCCTGCAATGCCATCCTGCCATGCAGAACACGAGTCCCCTGAGAAGCAGGGGCAGTGAGCTCAGCCCTGGCAAGAGCCGGGAGTGGAGAGCATCCTTTGGCCCAGCCTCTGGCGGACCCCTGCCTGCCCTTCAGACGGAAGTGCACCCACCACCGTGGGATGCACTTCCTGGGATTTCGGTGATTGGAAGAGCCACAGACAGGAGAGAATGTACTTAAGGGAGGGGCGGGAGAGAGGTGGGGCAGACCACCATCCTGCAAGAGTTGGGCATTTGGGAATTTTTCCATTTCCAACTTCTTGGGACCACTTGGGCGCTCTTAGAAAAGAAACTATCACCACAGTGCACGACAGAGAGGGTCGCAGCGCACAATTTGCAGATACCATCATTCCCGGGTCAACGCTATGATTTGCTGTGCAAGATATGCCCGACAGCAGCTACGAGAACGACACTGTAGAAAGGTCTTCGACTCATGTCGGCAGTGACTCACAATGGAGTCGCTGGAATGGGACCCATGTATCTGCTGTAAGCTCGGGGCTACCTGTGCTTCATCCTGATGATGTATCATTCACCCCCCGCGAGGAAACTGAGGCCGGAGAGGTCAAGTCACCTGTCCAAAGTCACTCTTTGGGAGTGCTGGCGCTGGCTGGCTCTATAATCTGAGCTGACATCACCATAGGAGGTGCCTTCCGGTACGCACTGGCCTGCTAGCAGCACGATCGGTGGTTCAAATCTACCAGCTGCTTCGGGTGACAGAGATGAGGCTGTCTGCTCCGTGGAGGTTTACAGCCCTGGGAGCCTGGTATGGGTTGGTAGGCAGCGTCAGAACCACCTTGATGGCAGTGGGTCTGGTCTGGGAGGTCACCATGCTGATTGGACAGAGCCTGTGGGCCCCTCGACTCGGGCACACGGAAACTGGATCCTGGGTTTTTCATCTCCTTACATCGATCTTCTCCTGGTACTTAAATGAGTTTTGAATGGGCTCGGCCCTTCAAAACCATACACAGAGTAACACAAAGATATAACACCCACCCCCTTCCCAAGCCCTATTCCCACCAAAAGCATAAGCCTACCTCCACCCAGGGTCCAGCCTGAGACCCCTTCCTGAGGGCGCTTGGTGAAGGTGAGGGTCAAAGGTGGACATTCGTGGGGGGTCAGAGGGCATGGAGGGATCTCTTGGGCTGCCAGAGGCCCCCCTTACCTGTGATGGTCCCGAGATGGATATAGCCCTCATGCTTGCCCATGGTGAGGGCTATCACGTGCTCAGAGCCGTTGATTTGGATTTCCACAGGGCATAGCATCTTGATGCACTCATTGGCCAGGATGCGGACCCACGTACCTGTGGGGCCAGCACAGAGACTTGGGCACAGGCATTGAACCTGGGTCCTGGCCCACTTTCCCACCACCCCAATCTCTGGGCCCCTAGGGAGCCAGGTATCAGGCCTCTGGAGCTGAAGAGCCTGCTAAGTCTTGGTATGTGGGTATTGGCACTCTTGGCAAGAATTCCCCTCATTCACACTCTGTCCGGGACCAGACTGGACTGATCTCACCTTCCCACCTCCTTGGCTTGTTCTGAACTGAGTAGGTGAGTGACCAAGGTGGCCCAATCGGAGAGACGGTCCCAGTCACAACCACTAACAGGCACCACTGGGAGGAGTCTGTCTCACAGTGACTGTGGGTCCCTGGATCCAACTATACTTGAAGCTTTCAACTCCCTCTCTGTGGACCGAGAACTGCAAGGTCACCACCGCATGAAGAGCTAGTCTTGAGAACCCACAGGAGCAATTCTACCCTGTCCTACAGGATGGCGGAGTCGGGCAGAATCAGATCCAGGAGAGTGAGTTTGGACAGTGTGTGTACATGTGTCTCTGCTGCCTCCCTTCGCTCCATCGCTCTTTTCCAGGGAGGCGCACAGTCCCGGGAGCTCTGCCCCAGCTCTGCTCTCCCCGCCCCCATCCCCCACCCATCCAGGACAGGGGAAGTCCCAATGGGGAGCATTGACTCGGCACTTTGAAAAACCCTTCTGACACCCCAGTCACCTACCCACCTAAGGTGACTTCGGATGCATCCTGTGGGTGGGTTCACTAGGCACCCTCTCTGCCACCCAAAAGTGGGTCCCTTCGCCTGTGATGGCAAGGCCCCCACGAGGTGAGGCGACCTGGCCACAGGTCCCTCACCTTTGCTGGACACCTCCCGGAGTATCGGATAGTTGCCTGTGAAATAGTAGACGAGCTGGTTCTGCCGAATGAAGAGGGTGGTCTCGGTGGCGATGGTGTCGTAGATGGTGGCGGTGAACCTGGTCTCCGGGCAGTAGAAGGAGCCCACCCAGCAACTGTCAATGTTCAACTGCAGGGGAGTGGAAGCCAGTGGTGAGCAGCCGGCCGGCCGGCCGGGGCCTGGGCCCTCAGCAGACGGGAGGCTGTGTGCCAACTGCTTGGCATAGACCCACCTGCAGCTTCCCAGGGGGCCCTGCCTGCTCCCCCCGCAGCAGCCCCTTGGAAGTCACCCTGTCCCTGTGCGGTCCAGTGAAAGGATGGGGCCACCAGGGCCTGAGCCAGGTGGGGTTTGGGGTGTCTCGTGGAGCTGAATGTGGCAAACAGGACGGGGAAGGGAGTGTAAGTGGATGCATTCTTGATGCTCAGATGTTGAGAAGCCTGGCAGGCCAGGACTCTGGTGGAGGGAGGCCTTCACACTTGGGAGTTAGAGATGAGTCCCAATCACATGCTCATGATGAAGAGGAATCCCCACCATATCCTCCCATCCTAGTGCGGCCTTAAAGGGACCTCTCCCAAGCACGTGGCTGATTGCTACCTGGCCGGCAGCTTGGTCTCTAGGAGCAGACACGTTGCTATTGCTCTCCCTGCTCAGGGGACAGTCACTCCCTGTACCTGCCCCAGCACTGGTGTCAGGTTACTCCTCCACTGAACCGGGGACCTCCAGGGTTAGGACACAGCCCACCGTGTTACTACATATGTGGTGACCTGTAATTAGGGGGGCTTGCATGCCCCGAAACTATCTAAGTTGATGTTAAGAACGCATTTTCTCTCTCTTTCTCCCTCTGCTAGGACCTGGTTCCTGAAGCCTGGTGGGGGGAAGCACCCCTAAACTTGTGTCTGTCTCAATTTCTTCCCTTCAGTTGCCCAACGGTCCCTGAGGACCCACCCGGATGTGGGCTGGATCGCACCGCTGAGCAGCAGCACACAGTGTGTCCAAGGGTGCTCAGTCGGCCGGGTCCCTCTCGGCCACGGGATGCTTCACCCCCAGGTGAATCCAAACCATCCCACGCTTAGTCCAATGGCAAACGTTTCACGGTTCCATTCTTCCTTGTACACGGTGATGACGGTGAGCCAGTCACCAGGCGTGAACAAGCGGCTAAAAGCGTTTCTCCAGCTCCAATCCAGAGTCTGGAGGTCAGCATCAGCTGATGAGCCAAGCGAGGTCAGAGAAATGAGATCATGACCCCTAAGGAGAAGCCAGCTGTCAAATTCTAATGACAAAAAGCCTGGTTTCTCAAACAAACCGCCTTTAAAAGAAATGTTTGCTGTTTTTTTTTCAAACTTGGTTTGGAGACAAATTATAGAAGAGTCAATGCTGGCCCGTTGTGACCCTACAGGACAGGGTAGAACTGACCCTGTGGGTTGCTAAGACTGGAACTCTCTAGAAGGCCTCCTCTTTCTCCTGAAGCTCATCTGGTGGTTTCAAACTGCTGACCCTGGGGTTAGCGACCTCACACATCACCCCTAAATCCACAGGGCTCCTCTTTTGCACAGCTAGTTTGTCAAAACAGCCTTGTCCCGACCGGGCACCCAGATAGCACCACAGGCACAGGCAGGACAGACCTAGACAGAGAACCTAGAACTGTAAATCCTTACAAACTGCTCATCTCCGACAAAGGGTCAGAGCTCACTTAATGGGAACGACATGGTCTCTTTAACAAACGGTGCTGGGAAAACTGGAGCGGGTCCCATACCTCACACTGTCCACCAAACAAACTCAAGATAGACCAAACGTTTACATGTAAAACCTACGCCGATAGAGGACATGGAAGGAAAAAGAGGGACAGGGTTGGGGCCCTCCTATATGGTATAAAAACACAGCCAAACGTAACTGAAAGCACACAGACTGCCAGGCACAACCGAGACGACTAGGGCCGCCTTCAAAGTTACTTGGACATTAAGGTGACCAGACGTCCCGCTTTTGGCGGGACAGTCCCGATTTTTGGTGGTTTAAAAAAGTCCCGATTTTTGGAAAGAATGCATGACAAGCTAGGGAATGGTCTATTTGGTCCATGTAGACCAAATTTTTAATCAAGAATCCTCACCCTGGGCAACAAGTGTATAGATGTGCTTTAGACAATTGATCTATGTATTGTAATGAATTGTATGAGCCCCAATAAATAGATTAGAAAAAAGAAAGAAAAAAAGAATCCTCACCCCATCCCCCCGGTCAATGGTGTCCCGCTTTCAATCTGGTCACCTTATTTTACACCTGAGAAGATACCACCAAAAAATTGGCAGGGACATAGAGGATGAGGGACGAATTTCAAAAACATAGAAAACGGCGTTGCCTCGGCAAGAAAGAGACCAATGATCTAATGTGGACATGGGAAGAGGTCGAGTCCTGACAGCTGAAGGCAGGAACACTCAGCTGGACCCATCAGATGCGGTCAGTACGGGCAACGGGACATGATCCAGGCAGACGGGGACACACCTAGCCAGAGTGGGACGTCATGGTTTTCTTGAGGAGCTCCTCCATAGCCGGCCTACATATTTTTTTTTTTTGATTTATTAATTTATTTATTTTTTGTATTTTTTTTTAACATTTTATTAGGGGCTCATACAACTGTTATCCCAATCCATACACACATCAATTGTGTAAAGCACATTTGTACATCGTTTCTCAAAACATTTTCTCTCCATTTAAACCCCCGACATTAGGTCCTCATTTTCCCCCTCCCTCCCCGCTCCCCACTCCCGCATGAGCCCTTGACAGTTTATAAATGGGTATTTTGTCATATCTTGCCCTGTCCGATGTCTCCCTTCATCCACTTTTCGGTTGTCTGTCCCCCAGGGAGGAGGTCACACACAGTTCCATGTAATCGGTTCCCTCTTTCCTACCCATTCTCCCTTTACCCTCTCTGTTTTGCCACTCACACCACTGGTCCTATAGGGCTCATCCGTCCTGGATTCCCTGTATTTTCAGTTCCTATCTGTACCAGTGAACCTCCTCTGGTCTAGCCAGACTTGCAAGATAGAATTCGAGTCATGGTAGTGGGAGCGGGGAGGAAACCTTTAGGAACTAGAGGAAAGTTGTATTTCTCATCATTGTTACATCGCACCCTGACTGGCTCATCTCCTCCCCGAGACCCCTCTGCAAGGGGATCTCCAGTGGCCTACTAATGGGCTTTGGATCTCCACTCCGCACTCCCCCCATCATTCACTATGGTAAGATTTTTTGTTCTGATGATGCCTTACACCTGATCCCTTCGACACCTCATGATTGCATAGGCTGGTGTGCTTCTTCCATGTGGGCTTTGTTGCTTCTGAGCTTGATGGCCGCTTGATTACCTTCAAGCCCGGCCTACACATTTTTGAAGGCAGCGTCTCCAGCCCTCTCCCCGAGAATCCTGAGCTCCTTAGGCATCCTTGAGAGCCCCACATTGTCTTCCTTTTCAATGTTCTTTGAGTTTGGAAAACCAAATGCCTCAGAGGGCAAGGTCAGGGCTGCCGGTCGGCGGCCTGTGGTTCTCCAGCAGCCCTGTCACCGGACAGCCCTTGCTCCCTCAAAGAATGGGCAGGCACGCCGTTCTGCCAGAAGGACAAAACATTCCTTGGCCCAACTTTCTTGGCCTCTTTTCCCCCAATGCCGTTAAAACAGTGTTTGTTTATCATAAGCCTGTGTCCCTGGAGGGGAAACTCCCCCACCGGGTAAATATAAATAGCATTCCGATTTTACACCTAGGGAATCTGCGGGCCCTGGCAGCTAAGGGATTGACCCAAGGTCACAGAACCAGGAGGTGGCAGAACAAGAATTTGAACTCAGGCCCTCCAGCTGCCGTGTCTGGCGTGTCCGGCGTGGCCCTCCTCTAGTTCCAGGCCCCCACTCTGTTTTACAGGCGGGAGGCCCCAGCCTGCTCCGCATCACTCACCTCCACCAGGGTGGAATCCCGGAAGTAGGTGTTGCTCAACAGGATGGACTTCTCATTTGGAATGCCACCGAGGATGAGCACAGGTGTGTGGTTCACAGTGTACCACAGGGGCCGGGAAGGGGCATTCAGAAAGTACTGGGATTTCAGGTTCTCAACCTGCCAAAAGACGGACAGAGGGCTGCTCACCACCTGCCCAGCTCCTCCATGGCTCCATCTCACTCAGGGTCCAAGTGCAAGTCCTCCCCGCTGCCCACAAGACCCCACGTGTTCACCTCTGCTGCCCTCGCTCTCCACCACCCCTCTGCCTTCACCCCCCACCTCTCTTCTTGCACTCCACTGTCCTGGCCCCATGGGCCTCCTCGCTGCTTCTCAAAATAGCCCAGGCGCCTTCCCACCTCTGTGCTGGCTCCTTCCCCGACCTGAGAATACTCTTCTCCCGGAGATCCACAGGACTCGCTCCCCCTCCTCCTTCAAGGCTCTGGTCTAACGTCAACCTTCTCAATGGAAGTGTTCCTAACCATTCCATGACACACCGCAGTTTCTGTCTGAACAGCCCCACCCCACTCACCACCTTGTAACCTAGTCCAAGATTGTCCTGTTGGGGTGTCTGTCTCCCCCAACTAGACTGTCAGAAGGGCAGGGATTTGGGTCTGTCTGTCCACAGCTGTCGTCCGCAGGGCCAGGAGATATTCTGAGTGAGTGCTTGGTGAATGAATGAATGAATGAATGAATGCACAGCTATGAAGAATATGGGTGGATAACAACAGAGGCAAGAGACCACCTATCGACCGGGAAAGGAAAAGAAAGAGGGAGGGAGGGAAGGAGGACAGAAAGAGAGGCTTTAGGCCGAGCTGTTGAGACTGTCACGTTCATGGGAGTAGATGGCCTCTTCTCCTGGGAATGATGCCGGGGCTTCAAACCGTTCACGGAGATGATCAAACGGGAGAGACAGTGCTCCAAAGAGGGAGAGGGAGATCCAAGGGGGGCGGGGGCAACACTCTTGAGGTTAAACTGCTGGGTTCAAGCATGAGTGTCTGACACACAATTTGTTAAATGCTTTTTTTAAAAAAGGTACTGGAATTTTCCCACGAGCTCTTGGAAGACCCCTCAGGTAACCACTACGAGTCTAATGTCTAAAACATATAGAAGATGTCATCAAAAGTGGGGGGCAAAGGACATGACTAGACACGAAGTCACCAGAGAGGGTCTCCAAATGGCCCACAGCCCAGTCGCCATCAGAGATGCAAATCGAAACCACGATGAGACGCCTTTCACTCTCGCAAGGAGGGCTACGATGAACAGACAAAAAACAAGTGTCGGAGGGGGTGTGGGGAAACCCAAACCCTCGTCCATTGCTGGTGAATGTGCAAAATGGTAGTCATTGTGGAAAATAGTCTGGCAGGTCCTTAAAAAGTGCCAGAGGGGGGCTGCCGGACACTTGGCAGCCCCACTCCCAGGTACAGACCTGGGATCTGAGGGAAGTGACACACAGGCATATGCCCACCTGTGTCCATCACAGCGCCATTCACAATAGCCATGAGATGGACACAAGCCAACTGCCCACCAGTGGATGTATGGATAATACTCCTGAAAAGCCTTAGGACACAGATGAACCCGGAGGACATTAGATTGAGCAAAATAAGTCACTCATAAAAAACTTTAATAAAATGACATGAACAAGCAAAATGACAGTAACGAATGTTCACTCGTTGTTACCAGAGATGGAGTGGGATGGGAGGAGGGTTCACTTTCTAGAGAGTGAAACTCATTGCCATCAAGCCAATTCTAACTCGGAGAGACCATCGAAAAACACCCCACAGGGTTCCCAAGCCTGTAATCACTGCCGAAGAAGACTGCCCCATCTTTCTCCCATGGAGTAGCCGGTGGATTTGAACCATCGATCACTGGGCTAATAACCAAGTTGTTCTTTAGATAGTCTTACTGCTACTGAGTTGATTCTGACTCATAATGACCCTACAGGACAGATCAGAACTTCCCCTGCCGGTTTCCCAGACTAAATCCTTTATAGATAGATAGATAGATAGATAGATAGATAGATAGATAGATAGATAGATAGATACAAAGATAGATAGACAGATAGATGTAGTTATATACTTTAAAATGTTTTATTGACATATGTCACATACTTTATATATATATATATATTTTAAATGTTTTATTGACATATAAGTCACATACTTTATATATATATATATTTTAAAAATGTTTTATTGACATATGTCACCTACCATACAATGCAATGGTCTGAGCATATTAAAAAGAGTTGTGCTATACCATGTAGTTATATTCTGAACCATTTGTATGAAACAGTCTTCTATTTTATGACCAACAAATATTATTTGAGATCATGCAAGGTAATAGATCAAATGCCATGGGGAAAAAAAAAAAGAAGAATATAAAGTTTTATGAAACAAATTTTGGTGAGGAAATTAAGCTAGAACAACAGAGTTATGCAATCATCATCACTACCATTTTAGAACATTTTCTTCATTCTTGTGCCCGTTCTTATTAGCTCCCCATCATCTCCCAGCCTCCATTATAGAGACATCGCTTTAGCTGTCTCTAAATTTATCAAGTCCTTAAATTTCTTTTCTTTTTTTTTCCTCAGGGGAGAGTGCGAATGCAGTCCCCCACGACCACAAATGATGCAGTCGAGTTTCCCACATTTGGGGACATCGCAGGGGTCCGCACGTGCGCAGTGCAATGGGTGAGCCTCGCCCTGGCTGGAAAATCACCTTGGTGATCACAGTGTCTCCCCTGCCAGGCAAAGTCCTTACATTTTTAACAGTTTTTATTTGGGAGGTACAAAAGGCAAGAACTTAGGGTGCGTTGGGTTTTTTTTGGTTGGTTTTTTTTTGGCACCCTTTAACAGAAAATTCAAGTCAAATACTGAAGGAGTTTATTGGCTCACATAACTGGAAAATTCAGAGGAAGGTATTTGGTTCAATAGTGTCCTTAATAAAGTTTGTTTCCATCTCACACACAAAAAATGTTACAGTTTTATGGATATAGAATCCTTGAATCGTGCCATTCGATGGTTTAAGAGACTGGAGCTCTTCACAGAAGCTGCGTGTCTCACCTTGTCCTCCTGCTGACCAGCTGGTGGGCTCCGATGGCTGACCTTGCGCAGTCAGCAGCCCCGGGCAAAACCCACCCCCACCAGGGCTCCACCTTCTGCAGGTAGTCGGCACTTGGGACTTTGGGTAATACCCCCTGAGGGTGAAGCCAGACGGTGTCAATGAAAATATACACAAGGAAAAAAAGGGGGGGCCTTTTGGTAATTGCTAAAGCAAGAGCCCTGGTCGGATACTGGGGTTGCACATTCGGCTGCTCACCACAAGGTGGGCGGTTTGAAACCACTGGCTGCTCTGTGGAGAAAAGCTGAATGAGGCTTTCCATGACCTGTCTCTCGGAAAGCCACGGGGGAAGTTCTACCCTGGCCCGTTGGGTTGCTGACTCAAGTCAGCTCCTTGGCAGTGCGATTGTTTTTGGAAAAAGTAGCCCCCCAGAACATGTGTGGGTGTATGTGCCAGTGTGTGTGTGTGGCCATTCCCCTGAGCCCCGGGGGTGACTCGGGGCCTAGTCTCCTATCAGAGAGGGTCTGTTCCTTTTGGGCAGGTTGACTGGCATTTGCTGAGTAAACTGCCAACAACCTGGGTTGACACTTTTTGTCCGTTCCTGTGCCGTAGCTTGCCCTGTGCTTACTTGGTAAGTATATTACCAGGAAGGGTCAGCAGACTACGCAAGTGAGGGGAGGTGTAGCCTACCGAGAGGAGATTGGTGTTTGGGGGCCAGCCTGCTGGAAGCCGCTGTGGTAGTTGGATGGTTTTAGGTCTAGACACACCTGGTTAGGCATGGAGTCAAACCTGTCCATCACGTAGTAGCTTTGACGATAGCTCCTTGGGGGTGTGGCCTTTTGTATGGGAGTGAGGGGTTCTGGGAACTGCCTCCCCCACCTCTCTCTCTTGCTCTCCCTGCCATTTGACCTCCCCCTTCACTGGGCCTTCCCTGGGACTCTGTGTTCCCACTGGGAGCGGCCCCACATGGGCTGCCCAACGTGAGCACTGCCAGCACCTGGCCATGTTTCCTGCCTGTGACTCTGGGTGCCTGTGAGTGTGCACACCTGCCTGCGATCTTTCTGCATCACCATCACCAGCACGTGGCTACCTGAGGCTGGAGAGGGACCCAGGGACTAGCCTTGGACTTGGGGACTCGATTGCCCTGGGCTCGTTGCCTTCTCCATACATAATGACCTGTCCTTCTCCTCAATAGATGAGTGTCACTGAATTGATTCCTCTAGACAATGCAGCCTCACACGGGGGTCACATCTTGAAACAGACAGGGAATGCTGATATACATGCAGTCAACCCCAGAGAGGTTTTTGGAGAAGCAGCAGGAAGAGACTGGGCTTTCTACTCCCATAAAAGCGTGTGAGCTGCTTACTGGTCAGATAGAGACGCGGGGCACCCCCAGACGATGGCCCCTGCCCTTCAGGTGTGGCGCTGAATTCCCCTTCCCGTTAACATCAGCCACTTTTGAAGTTGAAAGGGGCAGCATTTACCCAAGGACAAAGCTCAGAAGGTTAAGAAAGGAGGAAGGATGGAAGCAGGGAGCACCAGGAGGACTGGGATACTTGGGGGATAGCAACGGATGAGTCGAATCCTCAAGTGCATGAGTTGCTAAAGGCAAAGCTATGAAACTGCTCTGTCAACCATCACTGAGTTCTCAAGAAAAAGCTGAAAACAAAACACAACTTCTGACCAACTCATTTGGAGCCAAAGAGAAAGAAGGAAACTGAAGGTTCACGGGAGAATCCAATGGACAGGAACCGCATCTCCCCCGAGTCCACGTGGCAGCTACATAAGCTCCTGTCGACTTGAGGAAGGGGTGCAGTCGAGCCTGTCAATCAGGTTGCGGCGTCATGACCTCATTTGGAGGTGCATGGAGATGAATGGCTCCGTGGAGGCCAGACCCATGCTCTCTGCCTTCCCCTTTCTACTGCTGAGACACTTAGAGCTGGAGGAGCCACGTGGAGACCCACGCAATGTTGAGATGCTTCCACCACCACTAGATCCACAAGACTTTCTACCCACTGGCCTGTGATCTTCCTGCATTCGGCATCATTGCATGTGCCATGGGAATCTAAAGAGGAATTTATGGACTAGTATCGGACATAGGGGCTAATATCGGACTTGTGGACTTGATCTGGACTGGGCTGGGATGTTTTCTCAATATTCAACTGCTTATACACGTGAGCGTCTATGAATTTGTTTCTCTAGTCAACCCAGACTAACACTGACCAGAAGAACTGGATGGTGCCCAACTACCACTGCTGACCATTTTAATCAGGGTCACCACAGACGGACCCTGATAGAATGAGACAGAAATATAGAGTAGAGCCTCAAATTCCTAAAACAACACAAAATATCAGACCCCTAGACTACTTGAGTCTGGAGGACACCCTGATAATACTTGTGTTGGTCTGCGTGGACTAGAGAAACAAGTTCAGACACTCACGTGTGTCTTAAGAATGAGCTTTATATACAAGAGCAGTTGAATATTGAGAAAACATTCCAGGCCAGTCCAGATCAAGTCCATAAGTCTGACATTAGCCCTGATGTCTGATACCAGTCTATAAGTTCCTCTTCAGACGGACGCAACACATGCAGTGACTCCGAGTGCAGGAAGATCACAGGCCAGTGTGTGGAAAGTCTTGTGGATCCAGTGGCGGTGGAAGCATCTCAGCACTGGCTGGGTTTCCACGTGGCTCTTCCAGCTTCAAGGCTCTGGCTGCATCAGTGTAGCTCAGTGTGGCTTGTCAACAGGCATGTCTCGCAGGGAGAGTCTACAAGTCCCGCCTCCAGTGAGCCAGTTTTCTCTGTAGCGCCTCCCAATGAGGTCACCAAGCTGCGACCTGACAGACAGGCTAAACTCCACACCTTCCCTCTTAATAGTCTCAAGTTGACACCAGATTATGTAACTACTACAATACTCTCCAAATCTTGGCCAACCAGAACCCCTAAGATCACCTTGTATTTATATAACAGATGTGATTTCTTAAAAATTTTTATCAGTTCTGCATGCCGTTCATAAATTACCTGTGGGAGACCAAAATACCGACGATCCCTTTAAAACAAGGATGCGAAAAACAAAATAAAACAACAAGGATGCGAAGGGAATGAGGCAGGGCCAGGAGAGGAAGGGAAATGGAACAAGTGTGCAGGCACCGTGAAGAAGACACCCAACATCCTACGCAATGAGTGTGGAAAGGTTCCAACGGGAGCCTCCATGGCCGTGCAGACGACGTCATTTTTAAGGCTCTGCGTCAGTTGGGTGGAGTTGATGTCAAGGGTCCCGTTCCGCCTGTGCTGTGGAGAGACCCTGAGCCGTCCGAGGTTTCTTGTCCTCCACAGGGGTCTGCGTCATGCCCCCCACCCCACCCCACAGCCCCTGTGACGGCCTCACATGACTGTGTGGCTACCTCGGCACAGGGTTCAGTGCTGTGGGGCTCACTTCTGGTGCCTCAGGTCCCAGTGAGGAGGCACAGGTCTTGAGCCCAGCCTTCTCCCTTCCCTCTGCCCAGGCCTCACCTTATTCCCCACAGTGAACCCAAGTGTGCCATCTGACTCCATCTTTAGGTAGCCATTGATATTCATGTAGAAGCTAGGAATGGGTGTGGGAAAGGTGTAAGTCAGGGTTCCAGTCTCAGGACCCCCCCAACTGCCTTCCACCCAATTCCCTCCCTTTGACTTCCCCTGGATCCTTTGGGGATCTTGGGATCAGGGAATCCCTCCCAGAGTCTACCCACTTTCCTGGGCACCTTTGTGTGCGGAGGATAGGCCCTATGTTGTTGGTCCCGACATCCACTTGCATGACCACGCTGCCATTCTTGATAGGCATGGGTGTGTACCAGCTCATGCGACACACCAATTCTGAATAGCAGACTTCTGGTGATGGGCAGGGAGCACTGAGGCTGAGGGGGCCTCGCCCAGTGGCCCCTCCGGTTCACAGAGCACACTGGGATATCCCATGGCCCCTGTTAGCCCATGGACCACCCACCCCCACCGGCATGCCTGTGTGCCACCCTCTAGCCCATGACACCGCTGATGGCCCCCCCAGACACTCCTCTCAGACATGGACCCCACCGAGGCCTCCCGTAGTCCCCTGCCACACAGGGCTTCCTCCGCGCCCCAGGCCCACCTTTGTTGCGGAAGGGAACGGCTTCCATCTGGATCTGTACCCGCTCAATCTTCCATCGGCGGTAGTTGACCGGGTGTTTGAAGGTGACCAGCACCATGGGCTTTAGTCCCGTGAGGAGGCCCTTGCGGATCCTGGCCTGGGAGGACTGAGAGTGAAATAGCCGGGGTACAGCGTTAGAAAGTCTCTGGGTCTCTTGAGCTTTGACTGCCCCCTTCCTTTAGCAGCTCTTTCTTGGGCTGGGTGGGGGGCAGTTGGGAACCATGGTCCAGGTTGAGGCCAAGATGGAGGATGGGCCAGGCGAGGAGAGGGCAGAGGAGCAGAGCCAATAGTGGGGCACCAGACCGCAGGGCCCGGGTGGAGGATGGGCCAGGCGAGGAGATGGCAGAGGGGGCAGAGCCACTAGTGGGGTGTCAGACCACAGGGCCCGGGTGGAGGAGATACGCTCTTGAGGGGCAGTATGGCAGGAGCCACGCTGTGAGGAAGGCCGCCATCTGAACCCCAGAACTGCTCGCCATCTCGAACTTCTCATTGGGGAGGTCCCACGCCATCGCTGAAGTGGGCTTCCACCGCCCTGTCTCACCCCCACCCAACAGCAGGCAGCCTGCTTCTGGGGCTGGGGGCAATTTGACAGGGAGAAACGAGAAAAAAAGGTGGTGTGTGTGTGTGTGTGTGTGTGTGTGTGTGTGTGTGTGTGTGAGAAAAAGGTGGGGTGTGTGTGTGTGTGTGTTAGGGGGGCACCTCATAGAGATGCCAAGACCCTAGGGCCAGGCAGGGATTGAGTGCAGAAATGGGAGGGAGAGGGTGCTCTTGGTGTGTGGACCAGCATCAGCAAAACCCTAGTGGCCCCCCAGGAAGGGCTACCTTCAAGTCTGTGTGTGTGTGTGTGTGTGTGTGTGTGTGTGTGTGTGTGTGGTGTGGGCGGGGGGGCTGTGAGACCAGGGCTAGGGATTGAGTCCCCATCACATGGTTTGGCTCTCCATCCTCAGGGATCTCTTTGCCAGGGTTTTACAATCCTGCTACCTACGCCACATCTCTGGGTTCCAAATCACAGGTGTGGTGGAGTGGGGCCTCTGCGCTGTCAGGGAAACTATGGCTGCTGCCCCTCTGGTCCCATCTGCTTCCTCTTCCCCGTGGACATAGGAGTAGTCTCCTCACTGTCGCCCTGGGCCTGCCCGTGCCCCCTACATGGTTGGAGGATCCGCTGAACATCTGGGTCACATCCATGCCATCTCTTCTCGACATAAAACCTTCTCCAGGCTCCATCTCACTGTGTAAAAGCCCAAGTCCTAACAGCGGTCCCTCATTTCCTCCCCGAGTTCTCCCCGTTTCCCCTGCCCCAGCTCCTTCCCTCGAGCCACACAGAAGTCCTCCTGCTTCCTTTCCTCCTGGGAGGTGCCGCCCCAGTGGTTCCCACTGCCTGGAATATGCTCCCCAGTTCCCTTTAGGGCCACCCTCTGCCTGACTCAGGTCTTAGCTCAAAGAGGCTGTCCCTAAGCACCTGTCCTCTCTAACCTATCGCCTCCCGTCAAGTTCGTCTTCACATCTGTGTCTAGCAGAGAGGGTTTAGGTCGTGGTTGATAGATCCTTCCATGGACTCAATCCTTGGGGTGGTAGTGGGGGCGTGGGGGGGAGCTGGTCATTTTGTTTACCACTGCAACAAGAGGAGGGACTGCACACAGTACACTTTTAGTGAACAGAAAAGATACAACCAGCACGTTTTTAATAGAAGGGACGAAGGTTCGTGGAGAACAGCCCTCTGGCCGGGATGACACGCTCGTACCTTGTTACTAACCTGACCTGGAACCAGGCCCTGGGCTAAGTACCCACCCATACTTAATCATGTAATGCCCAAGTCAACTCTACAAGGGGGTGTAGTTACTAGCACAGACTCGTTCAAGATGAAAGCACATTGGCCGAGAGACATTAAGTAACTTGCTCACCAGCACACAGCTATGCTATCCTGGCTGCCCAGGTGGGACAAAGAGTGCGTGCGTGACTCCCACCAGACGCGTCAGCCAGACCACCCTGCGTAGCTGCTCCACTCCCTTCCAAATGAGGTGGCCAGCAGTCAGAGGTGATGTCACCGCAGTGGGTGTGGGGTGAGTTTTCCTTCTTCCAAGGAAACGTTTGTGAGCAGTGGACTCAAAGCCAGGTCTGCCGCCTCAGGAACTCCAGTGCTGGACCGCCACAGTCTACTCCCTTCTCAACCTGTGGACTTGAGCCAACACAGCTTTACAAAAAGAAAAACAGAGTTGGACGACACTCGCACGTTGCTCCTTACTGCAATGTCACGGTCATCGCGACTGTATGGAACTGGCATGAGGCTAGACATACAAAGTAATGGAACAGACATGGATCCAAGGCGAGCCTTAAAACGTATTTCTCACAAGAGTGCCAAGACAATTCAATGGGGAAAAGAACAGTTTGTCTGTTTTTTCTACAGATGGTACTAGGAAGACTGAACAGGCAGAGAGAAGCTGGACCCCTACCTCACACCATATACCAACATTAGCTCAAAACGGACCAATGACATAAGATCTAAAACTAAGACGCTTTTGGAAGAACCCGTAGACATAAACCTTCATGACCTTTAGATAAGTAACTTCTCCTCAGACAACATCAAAAAGCACACGCATGTACATGCACACACACGTATTTCAATTTGAGCTTCATCGAAATGAAAAACATGCGTGCTTGGTGGTGCCTGGCTGTCAATCGGAATAGTGTCTGGGGTCTTAAAGGCTTGGATTCAAACAAGCAGCCGTCTAAGCAAGGATTCAACTAAGCAGCGCACCAGCTTGTGTGATCCAAGGAAGACAGTTACAAACTCTGAATAAGGCAAAGAGAAAAGTATCGGAGCTAAAATGATGAACACCCAATTTGTGGACGGCTATGGAGGGCAGTGGGGGCCCAAAACCCAGCCGCAGAGTAGCTAGAGCAGCGGTTCTCAACCTGTGGGTCGCGACCCCTTGGGGGGGTCGAACGACCCTTTCACAGGAGTGGCCCGATTCATAACAGTAGCAAAATGACAGTGATGAAGTTAGCAATGAAAATAATCTTACAGTGGAGGGGTCACCACCACATGAGGAACTGCATCAAAGGGTCGCAGCATGAGGAAAGTTGAGAACCCCTGAGAGAGATGGCGCTACAGGCAAGAGTCCCAGACTGCCTGGCGATCAGGCAGAGACCCCTGTCATCTTGAACGTGGGGGATGGAACTCGGCACTTGGCCAGTTGTCGTCCCTATAGACTCGACCCGAATGTGCTCTGGGTGCAACTATCTCTTACTTGTTCCACGACAGACATTTCTTTCCTGGCATTTTGCATGTTGATCGGGGGTTTTTCTTTCTTACTAATTATTTGTAATTTTGTCTTTCTACTATTATGATTTTAGCCTTACTGCCTTCGTGTAATTTTGCGTTTCGTTGTTTTCTGTTGTTTTTCCCAGCTGTAAAGCACAGGAAGAGTGGATGCATAATGATAATAACTGATGCAAAGGTTAATAGGGGATGCAGGGGTGTGGGGGTGATCGCAAGGGAAAGAGGATTTGGGGAGTCAACAGTGAAGGCGGGAGGGGGAGGGAGCACTAGAACAGATTGCGATTGCACAACTCATTTGAAAGGCAGCTTAACCATGTGTGGGGGGCTACACTAAAATTGATACGGTAAATGATGGTACAACTCTCCTTGATATGACTGAATGACTGAACTGTTGAATTGTCTGATATGTACATTATGGCCAATAAAACTGGTGGTGGTGGGGGAAACGTTTAAGCTCTTTTATAGTAGGTTAATTATACATCGGTAAGAAGAACATTAAAAAACGTTTGTGTTTCAAAGGACAGACGTGGAAGAGACAACCCATGGTTGGTAGGTGCCATCCAGTCAGCTCCAACTCGTGGCCACCGTTACGTACGCTACGTTACGTTACATTACGTACGGCAGAGGAAACACTGCCTGCTCCTGGGCCGTCCTCACAATTGTTCTCGTGTTGGGGCCACTGTGGCAGCCACCTGTCAATCTTCCACCTTTGTGCTGCCCCTTTAATTCACCAAGCAAGACGTCCTTCTCTATAAACCAAAACACCCTCCCTCCCTGTCAACTCATGGTGACCCTTACAGGACAGGGCAGAACGGCCCCTCTGTTTCTGAGCAGCTAACTCTTTTTTTTTAAATCGTTTTATTGGGGGCTCGTACAACTCTTATCACAATCCATCCATCCACCCATTGTGTCAAGCACACTTGTACATATGTTGCCATCAACATTCTCAAAACATTTGCTTTCTACTTGAGCCCTTAATATCAGCTCCTCATTTCCCATCCCTCCCCACTTCCACCTCCCTCATGAACCCTTGATAATTTATAAATTATTATTATTTTGTCATAGCTTACACTGTCCGACGTCTCCCTTCACCCACTTTTCTGTTGTCCGTCCCCCAGGAAGGAGGTTATATGTAGATCCTTGTCCTCGGTTCCCCCTTTCTACCCCACCTTCCCTCCACCGTCCCGGCATTTCCACTCTCACCACTGGTGCTGAAGGGTTTATCTGTCCTGGATTCCCTGTTTCCAGTTTCTATCTGTACTAGTGTATATCCCCCGTCCAGCCCGATTTGTAAGGTAGAATTGGGATCATGATAGTCGGGGGAGGAAGCATTTAAGAAGTAGAGGAAAGTTGTAATTTTCATCGTTGCTACCCTGCACCCTGACTAGCTTGTCAACTCTCCGCGACCCTTCAGTAAGGGGGTGTCCAGTTGCCTACACATGTGCTTTGGGTCCCCAATCCGCACTCCCCCTCATTCACAACCGAGACACTAACTCTTTATGGGAGGAGAAAGCCCCATCTTTCTCCCCAGGTCTCCTCCATAGGGTGGAACAAATTATTTGCAAATTCTGTATCTGATAAGGGGCTTGAATCTAGATTATATACGAACTTTTACAGTTCAACAAAACAAAGACGGCCTCATTTTAAAATAGGCAAAGGATGTGACTAGATATCGCTCCAAAGAAAATATGTAAATGGCCAAGAATGACAGGAAAACATGATCTTAGATACAAATCAGAATCACCATGACAGACCATTTTGCATCCACTAGGGAGCGGTCACCACAAGGAGCCCTGGTGGCCTGGTGGATTATTGGAGAGACTGCTACCCACAAGGTCAGTAGTTTGAACTCACTAGCTGCTCTGCAGGAGAGTGATGAAGCTTTCTGGCCCCGTAAAGATTTGCAGCCTAGGAAGTGCATGGGGGCAGTTCCTGTCTGTCCTACATGGTTGCTGTGAGTCAGATGTGACTCGATGGTAGTGAGTGAGGGGTCACTACTGTAGCAACAAGGATGCGATGACCCCAAAACCAGACAATAAGTATTGGTGAGCATGTGAAATGTGCTTGCCGGCTAGCCACCAGGTTGGAGAGTCAGGTTTGCACAGAGGCAACTCGGAAGAAAAGTCTGGTGATCTACTTCCAGAGAACCAGCCGCTGAAATCCCTGGGAAGCACAGCCTGGCTGACGGCGGGAGGTCACCAGAGTCTGAGCTGACTGGCTGGCAACTCATGACCCTGCCGGTGGGAACGGAAGGCAGGACTGACATTTAGGAAGCAGCTTGGCAGTTCTTCAAAGGGTTCAGCATCACCCCAGAGACCTAACAGAAGTGACTCGAACCGTGATCTGCACACCTGTGTACGCTGCAGCACGATTAACCATCGCAAAACAAGGGAGACAGCCTAACAGCCCAGCCACAGAAGGCCGGATTAAGAAAGTGTGGCATATCCAGGCAACGCAACGCTAGGCAGCCATAGAGAAGCCCGTGTCCCTGAAACATCTCGGGGCACGGATGAATGTCGAGAACATTAAGTCGAGGGACGCAAGCCAATCGCAACGACACAGCTATTGAATGATCCCACTTTCAGAATCAGACAAGAAAGATGCATGCAACCAGGGATCCAAGCTCACTGGGGATTGCCAGGCCCGGGCGAGGGATTGAGCGGGAGAATCCCTCTCCAGAGAGTCAGGGCCTGCTGTCTGGGGTGCTGCGAAAGGCATCTGAAGGCGGGGGAGCCTTCACAACATCGCCAGGCTGAGGCGGCACAACACCAGAATCCGGTTTTGGAAAATGCTGTCACCTGTACAAATTCGCAGCAAGATCAGTGAGTGCCAACAACCCGCACGCGCTCTCATAGGTACACGTGTGCGCGTACACGTGTGCGGCAGTGTCTGCGCGTATCTGTATGGATCTGTTTCACGATCACTGTGCTGCCGGTTCGCGGCAACCCTTGAGGACAGGGAGAAGTGTCCCTGGGGCGTTCCAAGGCACCGTCAATCTTTACATGCGCAGAAAGCTTCCTCTTTCTCCTGTGGGGGGCTGGTGGTTTCGAACCCCTAACCTTGTGGTTAGCAGCCCAACAAGTAAGCCACTATGCCACCAGGGCGCCTCCAGGTGGCGCTGGAGGCAAATGTATGTATGAACAAGTGGATGCTGCAAAGGATGGGATTCCAAAATTTCATGAAAAGAAAAATGTAGATATCTTTCCCACCCTTGGCATATAGTCGTAAATACAGTGACCCACAAGGGCAGGCATGGTTACTCCTTAGACCTACCCAAGCCCCTCTCGAGATTGGTTCACTGGGAACAGTCTCTTGGGACAACTCAGTCAACTGGCAGAAGGTCAGTCCTGACGTGTAGGCTCAACATCCTAGTTGTTATCTCTGAGGCCTTAAAAGCTTCTGTCATCCTCCTTAAGAGACGGCTCTGGTCTCTCCTGGCTATCAAAGCCTCCGAGAAGCGGCTCATCTACAGCCACTGAACGTCTACACCAATTAAAAATTAAAAGTGTCGCAGAGGGAGGTGGGGTGCCAGCCCCACCCGCTACTAGAACTCACGGGTTCAGTAATACTACTTCTGGGTTCAGTAATGCACAATTGTACGGTTGAGATATATAAGCATTATATTAAAGTCATCAAGAGCATGAGAGATATTACAATAATATAGTCAGACATATTACATGGTAGCATTGCTCACCTCAGCCCAGCTTGGTGGGCTGAGAGGGGGAAGGGAAGGAGGGCAAGGGAACAAGGGAGAGGGGAGTGACCAGGGAGTGAGCAGCAAGGAGCTCAGAGTCAGAGAGAGCTATATTGCTGACTCCCACCTATATACCTATTGGGGGCATGCGAGCCCACTAATTACAGGTAGAGACATATGTCACAGGAGGGGCTGTACTATAGGTTACACAGTAATGAGGGGGTGGTCTAGGGGCATACATGCAATAGGAAGAGGGACAGCTGGTTTGGCCTGGCCCTGGCCCAACTGATAGAAACATTATCAGTAGGATACGAACTCCGCCCACAGGAGCCTGTCCATTGTCCCCAGAGGCTGTGGGATGAGACAGCAGTCTGGAAACTGATTGCCCTCAGTGGGGGAATGCCTGCGCATCTGACCTCTCCCCACAACCAACCATGCCCTCACCCACCTGGGACCACAACTAGATGGTGCCCGGCCACCAATGCCAACTGTTCTGACTGGGGTCCCAACAGATACTCCTGCATAGACTGGAGGAAAATAATGTAGAACAAGCCTCCTATTCCTTAAACCAACACCAGGCTGACTGGACCGGTCGAGACATCTTGAAACCATTAGGAGAGGTCACCTTCACCTGAGGATAAGACCATCTCCGGGAGATGGAATGGTCAACAGATACCCCAAGGAGAAGCAATAGGAGGAGGAGGAGGAGGAGACTAGAGTAATGGAAGTGGGGCCACCAGCACAGTGGAGAACTTGATGGGTGCCCTGGAGGCCACGTCCCCAAGGTCACTAAAGGCCAGGATAAGCAACTGTTAAAAGCTAATTTGATGTGCTTGGAGAACCTCTACCCAAAACCCAGCGGGGGCTGGGGGTGGGGTGTTTTATTAGAGTTACCATTACAAAAAAAAAAAATTCAAACCTGTCTTCAGTGATTTTGACTCATGGTGACTCTCTACAGGGTAGGGAAGTGCCTCCCAGGGTTTATAAGGCTGCCAGTTTTTTTTACAAAGGCAGACTTCCCCACCTTCCTCGAGGGGAGAGGCTGGTGGATTCGAAAGCACAACCTCTTCAATGGCAGCTGTTTTCATCAAGGTTCTTTAATGTCCTATAAACTCAAACCCAACCCAACCCACTGCCATCAAATTGATGACTCATGGTGACCCTATAGGGCACTCTGAGGGCTTCCTATAAGGTTTCTGAGGCTATAAATCCTTTTAACAAATAATTTTATTGGGGGGGCTCTTACAAATCTTTTTTTTTTAATCATTTTATTGGAAGCTTGTACAGTCTTATCACAATCTATACATCCATCCATTGTGTCAAGCACATTTGTACATTTGTTGCCATCATCATTCTCAAAACATTTTCTTTCTACTTGAGTCCTTGGTATCAGCTCATTTTTACCCCCTCCCTCCCTCGCAAACCCTTAAAAACTTATGTTATTATTTTGTCATGTCTTACACTGTCCGATGTCTCCCTTCACCCACTTTTCTGTTGTCTGTCCCCCAGGGAGGTGGGAGGTATACCATATATACTCGAGTATAAGCTGAGTTTTTTAGCACATTTTTTTCCCCTTTCATTTCTTTCTTTTTTTTTAACATTTTATTAGGGGCTCATACAACTGTTATTCCAATCCATACACACATCAATTGTGTAAAGTGCATTTGTACATCGTTTCTCAAAACATTTTCTCTCCACTTAAACCCCCGACATTAGGTCCTCACTTTTCCCCTCCCTCCCTGCTCCCCCCTCCCTCATGAGCCCTTGATAGTTTATAAATGGGTATTTTGTCATATCTTGCCCTGTCCGTCTCCCTTCACCCACTTTTTGGTTGTCTGTCCCCCAGGGAGGAGGTCACATGTAGTTCCTTGTAATCGGTTCCCTCTTTCCTACCCATTCTCCCTTTACCCTCCCTGTTTTGCGACTCACACCACTGGTCCTATAGGGCTCATCCGTCCCGGATTCCCTTTTTTAGCACATTTTTAATGCAATTTTGTGGTAAAATTAGGTGCCTTGGCTTATACTTGAGTATATACGGTATGTAGATCATGGTGATTGGTTCCCCTTCTCCCCCATCTTCTCCTTCCCCTCCTGGTATGGCTACTCTCATTATTGATCCTGAGGGGTTTATCTATCCTGGATTCCCTGTTTCCAGCTCTTATCTTACCAGAGGCTCTACATCTTTACAAGAGCAGACATCCCATCGTTTTCCCTCTGAGCAACTGGTGGGTTTGAACTGCTAACCTTGAATTAAGCTTAACCCACTGCAGCGTCCCCATACCAAGAAACTCATAGCCAGCCCATTAGTGCTGACTCATAGCCCCTTACAGGGCAAAGGAGACTTGCCTCTCTAGGTTTCTAAGATTGTAACAGCCCGGCATGTCACCCACTTGAGCAACCCTGGGGGGCCTCGCAATTCATTCCCAAGTACAGACCCAAGAGAAAGGTAAACCTCAGCTCACGCAAAAACCTGTACACGTCCATTCATGGCATCATAATTCACAGTTGCCACCCACCTCCCCAAATGGAAGCCATCCAAACACTCCGTCAGTGGTCCATCATAGGACGGATGGACAAAGTGCAAGACAGTCACACAAGAAATATTACACCTCCATGCAAAGGGTGCTTCCAGGCACGCGGCACCAGGGCCCAGTGAAAGAAGCCAGACACAAAAGGCCACACGATGGAAGATTCTATTTAGAGAAACGTCTGGGCTAGGCAAATCCACGGAGAGCGAAAGCAGATGGGTGGTCTCCAGGACCAGGGAACAGTGGGCTTGGGCACTGGCTGTTAGACTGGTAGGAGGTAGCTTTGAGGGTCATGAGAATGGCCTGGAATCCGTGTCTATTTATATCGCACAACTTTGTGAATATACTAGAAAACATTGCATTTGCCCTTCAAACTGGAGAACTTTGTGATATGTGAATTATAGCTCAGGTATTTGGGCCTTTTTTTCAGTGGTGCAAAAGTTTTACTTGAATACCTTGTAGGCGCCTGCTGGGGTCCTGGGAAGTGTGCATAGATTGTCTTCTTGAAGCCTTACAGGCCCAGGGGCAGATGGTGCTGGAAGTTCTCAGGGGGACCCCCATCTCACTGTCCCCACTCACCAGTTCTCCCATGCAGGTGTAGTTGATCCTCAGGTAGTAAGGAAAGCCCCGGTATCGCTACAATAAGTGGAGTGAATGTCAGAGCCACGTGGGAGCAGACCCAGGACGCCTCCCGTGGGCCTGAGCGGCCGCCCCTCACCTCGGTCACATCGATCGGCGCGTTCACCAATTTTCTGAATATTTTCTCCACGGTGTCCACCGGACTTTGATGAAAAAAGTCGCTGTAAGTGTCCCGGCCAAGGTTCTCGAACTTGATTAATGTTATCTGCCAGCTGCATTGGTGCATCTCTAACGCCCACTGCTCCCATGGCGCCAACAGCACAATCAGGAGGGTCCGCAGCACCTGCAGGGCTAGGGGTCTCCACCCCGAAGGGATCCCGGGGGACATCGCCGGGCACAGCGCAACGTGGCTGGAACCTGGAGAACCCGTGGGTTAATGCTCGCCTACCAAAAGGCGTTCAGGTGGGCCTCGGAGACCCTGCCACGCCTCCGCGCTTCGCCCCGCCCCTGCACCTGGCCCCGCCTCTGTCCTTGCCCCTGGCTCCACCCCGCTGGTTCCGAGTCCAGCAGCTACTCCGAGCCCCAAATTTGCTGACGCTCCTGGCAGGACCCCGCCTCCTCACTTGGCCCGGTACCTTGTCCCCGGACCTCTTTTACCTACGCTCCTACTCACCCCCCCCGGCTCCTCCCTCGGGTCACAGCCTTGCTCTTGGCTCCGCCCAGTTTCTGGCTCCGCCCCCACCGGCCGCCCCGCCCCTTCCCAGCTGGTGGCTTTCTTTCTGTTGGGCATTGACCCGTCCCCCTCTTCGGGTCTCTTCTCGGCTCTTGCCGTCTCCTGAAGCCGGGCCACGTCTTCATCCAGGTCTGCTCGACACGGTGCTCCTGCTCTTCGCCCCGCCCCCGTCCCTCGCCCCGCCCCTGACCTTGGTCCTGGGCCCCCTGGCCTTCTCAGGTGGGGTCTTCTCCCCTCGGACCCGCCCCTCGCCCAGAGACCACCCCGAGTCCCGCGTCTTCTCCCCCTGCACCTCCTGCCCACCTGAAGCTCTCTCGCTCCCTGTCTCCTCGCCACGCGACCCCTCCTCGACTTTCGCTCCCCCTTCAGCCCCCGCTGGCGCGGACTTCTGGGCCCGCAGCTGCTGCACCCTCGCCGGCTCCTCCCCCTGGCCAGCTCGCCC